GCTATAGAGGTGCCATGATTTGTTCATTTAATAAATACAGGATGAGCATCCCTTATCTGAAATAAGATAAAGCAGTCCTTTCTCTTTATGTGAGGGAAAACATTTTGGATCTTGGAATACTTGCATACTCATGATAAGTAGCTCAGCAATAGGACCCAAGTCTCCACAAATTTTATTCTGTTTCATATGCAGCTTACAAACATAGCCTTAAGGAAGTCTTTTTTAGTGTGTTGAGCTATCAGACTTGGGGCATTATGTTGAAGCTGAAAAGTTGCAGATTTTGGAGCATTTCAGGTTTTGGATTTTTGCATTAGGGATACTCATCCTGTACTTGATTTTTTAAAAACCCTGCATTTAGGATAGATAGATATAGATATAGATATAGATATAGATATAGATATCTATTGGAAATTGAACTGAAGACCTTGTGTTTGCCAGGCAGGTGCTGTGCTGTTGAGCCACCTCCCTGGTCCCAAACTTTGTGCTTAGTGAGTGACTATTTTAATCTGGAGTTTAATCTGAGTGCAAAGTAGTCAAAAATTCTCAGGTGTTCATATACTAGTGATAATTTTATACTATTATATTATTATTTCAATAATTTTGGATGCATACTCCTGCTATTCCATAACTCTCTGTTTCTTCTCCTTTTTCACTTATTGGTCCTTCCCATGCTTCATGATGATTTGGTTTTGACTCATGAACTCTCCCTTGAACCCTTTATTTGTGACCCCATAGAAGTCTGTATATACTACCATTAATTTTATTTGTATTAATACATGTTTGCAGTGAGTAATAATTACATCCATCCTGGAGAGTTGATACACAGCATACCTCATGTTAAGTCTTCTCGTGTTCCCTCCCTCAGTAAGCTATTTTGGTATCAGTCTGTCTTATTAGACTAGGAATAGAGTCTGTACCTAATGTTTCCTCCATAATTTTTAGTGTTTAGTTGAAACCTTACCCAGAGTAGGGACCGTCTTAATGGAATAGGTCTGAATGGTGCTATATTGATTTCTGAGCATTGAAGTATGGGTCCAAGACTGGGCAGTGTTAAACTTCAGGAGTTAGGTATTGCTTGTCTGATTCTTTGTCCAGTTTACTCAAGCCAAATATTACATTTATGACTCCCTGTCTAGCACAAGGCTTTATATATGTAGGAGCTTCATGAAAGGAGTTAATGCGTGAAGAATAGCTTCTGATAAGAGCTTATTCACAAGGAGCCTTTTCTTGAAGAGAAGTGGATATATCCCTAGGCATCTGTGGGAGACTGATTCCAGGAACCTCTATGATTAGCAAAATACTGTACAATGACATTGAAGTCCCTTAGATAGAATGGGCTGCTATTTGCATATAATCTACACAAATACTTTCATATACTTTAACTCATCTCTAGTTTACTGATAATATCTAATGTGAAGTAAATTAAAGGGTAGGAGATAGCTCAGTGGCATACGTGCCTGGCTGGCAAGTGTAAGGTACTGAGTTCTTTTTTTTAAACTTTTTATTATTATTAATTTTATTGAGAAACAAATAGCAATGAGACAGTTTCAAAACTGATTAGTAGGACAGTTTCAATAATTAATACATTGCATATTGTTGTCTTTGTAGTGGTTATTCATAGTACAAGATGCAGACATGATATCCTGTCCAAACACTATTAGTACAAATCTTTCTTCTCATTGAATTAAGGGAAAGTAGCTGTATATCTGTCCTAAGTATTTTGTATGTACAGATACAAAACGGTCCTTTGTTTATGTCCCCCTTTTTTGTTCAGTTTTGTCAGAGATGGGTATTCCATTGCCATTTAAATATTGTAGGTGCATGAATTCAGCAAAATAATCCAATGTAGTCCAGTAGTCCATAATAGTAGTGGGTTATCCTGGCAATGTCAGGAGTTGTTGATTTGAGCTTTTTACAGCTCAGCATATTAATATGGCTTTACTTTTTATACCTCATTTTTATACTTTTCTGCTGGATGTTTAAGACCAAGATAAAGCAAGACCTGTATAACAAGAAATGTAACTTTTGCATCTGATAAAGTCAGTCAAATTCCCTCAGGATTTACCCTGAAACCCTGTACTGCAATTTGTAGATCCTTGATCAGTGTCAGGCATGCGGATGAGTAATGGCCATTGCTTGACCAATTTGCTCTGTGTGAAATCCTGAGAGAATGTTTTTTCTCCATGAGACTCTCCTTAGGCACACTCTACATGGTCAAACACTTTCCTCTGTGGTCCCATAATCTCCTTGATCAGAAAATTTGGGACATCACTGAGTTATAGGATATTACAGTACAGGTTCACTTATGTGCTGAGTCCTCACTGATCTTGAAAGGCTAGGGCCGAAATATTGGCTGTCCTTGCAGCCCTTCTTTTTCTCTAATTTTTGGTCTGCAAACTTAAGTTGTTAACCCTCCAGAAGAGAAGCTTAATGATATCATTACCCTATAACATAGGCAGTTGAACTTAACCTCACTACCTGGCTGAATATCAAACATCTTAGACATAACATGTCTAAGGTCCTAAGTTTGATCCCTGATACTAAAAAAAAAAGTGAAGAAAATAGAAAGCAAAAAATAGAAAATGAAGTTTTTGTAAATAAGGAGGGGAAAATGTGGGTGTGGGGGCACAAAGGAGGATGAGTCAGGAGGGTGGGCGTGAGGTTGCAGCTGGTCTGAACTACAAAAGGAGACACACTGTCTCGAAAACAAACAAAAGCCCTAATATTCTGACAGGAGACAGAGGCAGGACAACTGTCTTGAGTTGGAGGCCAGCCTGGGCTATAATAGTGAGTTTAAAAGCAGCCTGCACCTATATAGCAAGACCTGATCAAAAAAAAAAAAAAAAAAAAGGTGCACAAGAGGGTTTGAAAGGAAGGAAAGGAATTGTGGGAAAAGAAGAAGCAAGATATATTGCACACAGGTACAGATTCCCCATGATAAATGTGATTGTTATGTATATTGGAAGAGTTATCAATAAAATTAATACAAAGCTAAGTAAAAGCTACCTAAATAATTGTATAATACATTGCTCGGGGAATAAAGAGAAGAAAAAGTTTGTACATATTCAGTGCAAATGCAATTAGTTTTCAAATCTTTTTGACTACACTCGGTGGAATCCACATGTGGACGACCAGCTGAGCGTGCAGCGGAACTCGAGCGTGTGCCCCGCCTCAGGTGCTGCTCGCTTAATGTGGTGATCCCCGGCTGGGCGTCAGTGGCAGGCACCGCTAGGAAGCACCGAGAAGGGACTTTACTTTTCTCTTCTGAAGGCCTGCATGTCTTTATGCATGGGTGCCACCTTAGGAATGATTGTCCCTGAACACTAAGCTCCAGCCCCTACCCTAGTGACAGAAGGGAGGATGGACGTGAGTAAAACCCAACCAAACTCAATATTCACATTTTATTTTTTAGAAAGCTTGCTTGCTTTTTATTTTTTTTCTGTTTTTATAAAAAAAAACTTTTAATATGGACATTTTCATTTATTATTATTATTTATTTATTTTTGTATCTTTAGAGACGGTCTACAGGATGTTCAGGGTTTCACGACTAGATCAGGCTTGTAGTGATCCGCCTGTTTACAGCCTCCCAAGATCTGGGATTATAGGCGCGTGCCACCATGCCCAGTCTCAATTGCATTTTAGCACACCCCGGGGGCAGGGCTGGCATGGCAGACCTGGGGATAGAGCCCCCAGCCCCTGCACCTGCTTCTAGGCTCTTTAATCAGCTGAGCTATTTGGCCAGCCCTAACATTTTCAAACACATGAAAAAACCCGATAAAATAATTTGCTCCCACTTACCCATTACTCAGGTTAAACAAAGGGCAGTTTTTATATGCCAGCCATTTGACAATCTATAAAAAAAATCTGCGGCTGTTCCTGGAAAAAGGGAACAGGAGACTGTGGTCCCCTCCTAACAATTGTGCTTTTGAGAGTGAAAATTAGCTTTTGGAGCTACTAACAATGCACCCTTAGAATAACTGCAATAAAATTTGTTGGCTAATGGATATGCAGCTTTGGTTGAGTACATACTGTATGGCCCAAAGTGAGCATGTCAATTTTCTAGGCATCTGTACTTGATTAACAACAGCAACTTACATACCCTGAAGCATCAGCAACAATAACAACAATAAGCAATGTAGCACAAAACCATCAACTAACACAAGACATTTTGGAGAGATGGCTGCACAAATGTTTGTACTTACAAAACAATTTTGTGATTTATAATTTTTTTCTTTTTAAAGAAGGGTTACTGAGGCATAAGATGGTTTGCCTAAGCTGGAAAAGAGATGTAACAAGTTTTAAAAGCACTTCAGCCTTCTGCAGAGAGCTGAGCCGTACTAATGGGTTATCCTTTCCCGGCTACTTTCCCTGACTTTAGTGCACACATCTCTTTCCCTTGAGTACTTTTCCTCACCATGCAGGTACTTGAACACTTCCTCTTGGGCTTTCGTAACACCCCGAGCAGCCTTGCAAAAGCAAGCAGCTCAGTTAAGTCCTCTTAGACTTGTGGTAAATCATAACAACAAGCTAACTTCAATATACGCAGAACAAATTCAAGAAAAGATCTGGTAACAGTGACCTATTCAGTGTTTTCCTCATACTGGCCATCTTTTCAACTTCTTCTAATAGTGAGGCAGCAAAATACCAATTTGTATCATTTTCCTGGAGCTGACTTAGAAACACTGGTGATTTGTTGAACATGGTGATATAAATAATGACAAATGTGCCTGTCTCTGTGTGAGGGGTCAACAAATTTTATGGGTACAGAGTCAG